AAAGTTAGGAAAGTGATAAAGTAGACCATCTTTTTGCCCACTCCTAGTTTTATAATACACAATCTGATTTGTGAATCTGTAAGAATATGGGAAATCTACAGCTTTTTTTTTATTATTTTTTTATTTTTTTGGGGTTATAATCAATGCAGATGTGGAAAGGACACTTCATTGAATTGAAGATTTAATGAACTAAAAAAAAAAAGATAGAGGTATGAAGCAAATTTGGTTTAGGCTGTGTTGGTAGTGACTCCCATAATGGACTTGAGGATTTTGAAAAATTTATCAAAGTATGAATGCGGGAAACAGCCTCCTTGTATAATTACAAGAGTAAGGTCTGCGTACACTGACCCCCAGATCCCAACTAGTTGGAAATATACTGGGTATGTTGTTGTTGTTGTATCAAAGTAGAAAGGCGGAAAGTGTTGTAATACAGATTGTGGATATGTAAGATAAATAAAGAGAAAGCTGTAGAGAGAACAGAGAGAATAAGAGTGAAGAGATAGGGCGTAAAACTATATCTTATTCATGAGTCCTATATATAATGAAATACAATGTACATGACTAATGACTTAATAGGCTCCTAGCCGTACCTACAAAGCATATATCGGATAATGTCCATAAATTAGTATTTACAACACTCCCCCTTGGACATTACTGCATCATATCTATGTCTCGTTAAAAACCTTGCTACAAAACCCAGTAAGAAAAAGTAGTCAGAAAAAGAGTACATTGACATGCAGATTTATGTGTTTCACTTGATGTCTCGTTAAAAATCTTACTAAGTAAAATCCAACAAGAAAAAAACTTAGCTAAGGGAAAAAGAGTCACACTGGCCAACAAAGCCTAATCTTTAAGATTTAAAATTGGCCTTCCTGGCTCGATCTTTAGAATTTATTTATCCCTCCCCCAGAAGGCAAAATCCTTTGTAGTTGCATTCAAAATTGTATGTTGCTCCCCTTCAATGTAAGAATTTCTGAAATAAAATTGTCATAATGCTTTTGTTGCTCTTCGAGAGTTAATATAGATTAAAAAAACTATCAAATGTATTTCGATAATTTATTTGTGTAACACAAGCTATATTATCTTCCATATAATTATGGAAAAATTTCAATAAAAAAAAAAATGATAAGGGGTTAATACCATTTCAGAGGTATATAATCAATCCAGGACCCAATACTTCAGAGATCAATTATACAATTGATGTCTTATCTACCAATATCTATATCTATACTACTTTAAAAGGAGGAGTGTTTTTGTAAAAATTCATAATACCTAAAAAACCCTTACTTTTTTGAACTAAATTTAATGACAAATTAGTAATACACTAATACACATCATATTTTATTTATAGTTTTAATTAAAAAATGAACTACCTAAAAAACCCTTTACTTTCACATGTTTTTAATGACAAATTGGTAATATACTAATGTCATCATATCTTATATCCTCCCTATATATAATTTAAAAAAACCTAACTTTTCTCAATTCAACATAAGCAAATCAATGAAAATAATATATTTTTAAATATTTTATGAACAAAAGTTGACTCGACAATATTATTAATGAATTTATGAATTGTAAATATTTAATTAAAATATTAATTAAAAATTGTAATTACCTAATTATATATAATATAATATAGAATATACAAACATTTGATATATAATGAGGCAGATGATCGAAAAAAATCTATACTTTATATTATGTCTTTTTTGACAAATTTACAGTTAAGAACGTGTGAAAGAACAAGATAAAGTTTTAAAAAAAATATAAAATATAAGAAATAATATGAATAATAACTAAGTTGTGACACGTACTAATAAATATAAAACAAACTAATAAACAAAAATAATATAATTAATATATCTAAATATAAACCTTCTAAAAATATACTTATCGATGTAATCGAACTGAGTTGTTAAACGGTTGTTAGTTTTTTGTTCTTATTAATTTTATGTGTAAATTTGAGGTGATAGACAAAAGTTATTTGTACATTTATACATGTATATTAGAAAAAAAAATGTTTATTATTCTAATTTTAAATAACTTTTTTATTTACTCTATTAGTTTTTTTAATATAATATATAAGTATCATATTGAACAGATAAAACAAGAAATATTTTAATTATATAATATTTAATATGTAAGAATTGTAACTCCATTGGTAAATTAATAGGTAATCTTGGGAAAAAATAATGAGTGATTTATGAAAAAAAATTATAGGAACTAAAAAGTTTACGTGTTTAGTATATTTTTAATAGAAAAATTGTAAACAAAATTCATAAAATTGTAAATTAATAACCTGTGGTATGTTTTCCATACATAAATTTGAAACAATTCATATTAAAAAAAAGTAAAAAAATGGGTGTAAACTTCTAACTGTTCCCACGTTTCGGCTACAACGCCCAAATCCGATATATGTTTGACACGAGTTTGTCGTAATGCTGAAACTATGGTAAATGCACCTTAGGGTACAAACGAAGCAATGCAATATAAAGTCATAGATAAAAGGAAAGGCTAGGCCGGCCGCGCCAGAGAAAGGAAATGAAATAACATTAGCTATGTGAAGTCAATTACTGCTGTAAAATGAACTCTATAATGGTGGTACCATATATGTATTCAGTGATTATGAAAATGACTTAGTTTATTAATATTTTATCAAACATTGGAAAAAATTCTAAAATTTTTTAATCTAATAATTCGTATAAAAAGTACAATTTTATCAAATATATTAAATTACATTTAATCTTATGTGATTATAATAATTGTAGCCTAATAAATAAGATAATTTGATACCATCATTATATAAAACACATACAAAAAATAACATAATACGTATAAATGTGCTTTAGTTACTTAGC